ACTGCTTAGTGACCGCATGGATGCTGCAGTGTCATGGTATTTAATTACTTGCATGTCTCAGATGATAAACAAATTAAATTTCAGCCCTGGGGCTACTGTCCTAAAGCCCATGCAGAACCTGTGGCTCTGCTGCTGGCAGGCAACATCCAGACACCCCGCTGTCCACATGGGACCAGCAGCCCTCCCATGACTCATGGTCCCCGAGGGCTCTGAAAATGCCTTGCAGGGAGGTCTCAGTGACCATCAGTAGGGGAAAAAACACCAGCTGGCTGAGGCTTGGGCAAGTCACCTCCAAAATTTTTTCCTGCTGGTCTCAGCCCCTTGCAAAGTTGCTGCTAAGGCAGCTGCTGAGCCCAGGGGAGATGCTCCAGGCAACCCAGGACAAGCTGAGCGCTGTTTGCTGCCCCAGAGGTTGTTACCATGCTCCCGTGTGTCTGTCTAAGCCTAGATCTAAAAGGGGCTTGGGTTTTGTTTTTCATTCTTCTGGCATAGCAGATCTCCCCACAGCACGGAGCCGCATGCTGCAGGGCACCGGGGTGTTTAGCATCTGCTGAAAATTTTTAATTGTTTTTGTGTTAAGTGCCTGATGGTGTCTTTTAGATAGAAATGGGAGGGATTTAGTCTTCCCTCCCTCCCTGTTTCACTCCCTCCACTTCCTCCTTCCTCTCTCCCTCTCTTCCTTCCTCCATTTCTTCCTTCCTTTCATCCTTTCATCCTTTCTTCCTTCCTCTCTTCCTCCCTGCCTCCCTCCACTGCTTCCTCCCTTCTTTCCCTTCTTCTTCCCTAAAAATTTATTAATTTCTTTCTTATTACATTCCTAAAAGCCCCATTCAGTCACAGGCAGCAGCAGGCAAGGAGAAACTCGACGATAAGGGCAAAAACAACAGTAAAACTGGAATGAAATGACAGCCATAAACCCCGTACCAGGAGGGACAGTAAAACTGCAGTTTGGCAGGAGCCAGCAGGCCTGCACTAATACCTTTTTTTCCCTGATTAAAACACTCTGGTCACAGATTAACTTCCCTTGCTCAATATTTATTGTCTCACCTGTGCTGAAAGGCAGGGAAGAATGGAAGAGGGGTGGGCAGGGTTTGGGATTCAGGATCTGCAGCAGGTCTGCAGCTCTGCAGCTTTTGGCAGCTGCCTAGGACATGAACATGTAATCAAAGGTGACAAACGTGCCTCCAGCAGTTACCATCCATGACTGAGCGCTCATGCCAAAGGGTCTCTGTGCACCGGGGCAGCATCCCGCAGCGGCATCCCCGGGCTTACCCGTGGCTGCAGAAGGAGTCAGTGTCAGAGCTGGGGATGCTCTGGGTCTCCCAAACACGCAGGACAGGGGTGATGATGGAGAGACACACTGCTACCGCCTGGGCGAGCACATCGGTTTGTCTCAGTTGAGCCAAAGCCCCAGCAGCTCTGGGGAAACCACGTCCCTTGGTAGCCTGACCCATTTGTTTCAGTGGCATCAGAAAACAGGATGGAAACAAGACTAAACTCCTGGCCATCCCACCTCAAGCATCTCCACATCTCAGCATCCCCTGCTGGGCTTATCCCTTGCTCCTTGCAGAGCGCAGGACATGCTGGCCTGGCACAGAAGCACCACGGCCCTTTCCTAATCCCTCACAGCCCTATTAACACACCACAGAGGGAGCAAACGCCTCCATGGGACCTTGATGTGTTTTTAGTGCATTAACTCCATTCTTGCACTTCTCAGCTCCCCTCACCCCCCC